ACAGTAAGCCAGATCAAGCCAAATTGAAAAAAAGTAGAACCAGTTTATTTGAGCAAAGCAACTCCTGGGTAAGTTTTCCAGTCCCAGAGGTTGAGGCCAGAGAATCCACACCCCTGAACTAAAGCAGGAAGACCATAGGCTGTAGGCAAGGGTGATGATGTGTCTAACAAGCTGGGCTTGTGCCCAAGTATGATCAAAAGCTGAGTGCTTTAGGTGGGGATTTGGACTGCCAGCAACAACAGGGGAGGAAGTTGCAATGGTCACCAAGAATGTGGAACTGGGATTTTTGGTGCCTTTTCTTTGTCGGAGAGTCTGAGTGACAGGGTTTGGAGAGAAATATAGGAATGGGGCTTTCTGGATCATGCAGGAGTAAGCTGGGGGTTCCAACTGAACACTTCTAATACTTCATTGATTCCCCCTACAACAATTATCCTCCCATAATGAGGATCTTCTACACTATCCCCATATGGATGAGTACCTTGTGGCAGAGAGTAGAAGAACCATGCCTGTGTTCGTGCCTTTAATGCTGTGGTCGAGTATCTGTCAGAGGTTCATGGCTCATGGTGTGAGAAAGTGTAGTCCTGCAAGGTGGGAAAGGCTTGATAGAATGCATGGTGGCAGAAGGTTGAAGCTGAGACCCTCAACTTGGTGGACATGAAGCAGACAGCGTGGGTAGTAAGCAGAGGGGAGTATAAACTTCAAAGACTCATGTCCCCAGCTAGGCCCCATGTCCTAAAGATCCCTCAAACTCCCCAAACAGCACCACCAGCTTGGGATTGATGCTCACACATGGGCCTACAGTCTGTCCTGCCCTCTAAGCAAAGATGCTGGTAAATGCTTCTGCTAGGTGCCCCCACATTAGGCTCAGGTGGCATCTGAGCTATTCCTGGGGTGTAAGTCAGAGACATTCCCCTTCCTACATGTGCAATCAGACTTGTGTTATCAGGCTCGGTTGCAGGAACCTTCATTTGCTGAGACATCTTGCCAGCCCCTTGAGACATTCTCCATCTGCCTTTTTTCTAGTTTCATCAGCTAACCAACTAGACAAGCAGTTAACATATGCTTGAAGGGGTCGAAGTCGTGCTTAAAGCCACTGAGCAGGGTGGCTATAAGAAAAGGAAAGAAACCACATCCACCACTAAAGGAAACTCCTTCATTACCTTTCTTAGTGTATGGATCTTTAAAAGAGCTCACACATCTCTAAAGAGCTAATTTTAACAATTCAAATAGTCTGAGGCTAAGTCATATTCACTTATAAAAATCAACTACTTTACATAGTTCATATTAATTTAGCATAAATTTGGAGAAGAGGAAAAAGGTAGAAGAACATAAAATCTATATTAAACCACCAGAAAATAAGGTTAGCAATGGCTACAGCATGTATCACTCACCTGGTGTTATTAACTGAGATAGATAGATAGATAGATAGATAGATAGATAGATAGATAGATAGAATGAATTTTAGGAGTCCCACAAATTAACTATTATTTAAAAGAAGGATTTTAAAAAAGATTTATTTTTAATTATGTGGGTGTTGGGGGGGGTATGAACATGTGAGTGAAGGTGCCTATGGAGGCCAGAAGAGGGTGCTGGATCGCTTGGAGCTGGTGTTAGATAGTTGTAAGCCTCCCAATATGGGATGCTGGTGCCTGAGTGTGGGTTTTCTGCAAGAGCCATACATGCTCCTAACTGCTCTGAACAGTCCCTTCAGCTCCAAGAATTTTCTTGAGAATAAATTTTTATGGAATAAAATATGTGTATAGTTCTAGTCAACATGTGCACACTTACATTTCTTTCACTAAATACTAACCGAAAATGATGATTTTTTTTCATCCTAACAGGAGACAGGAAATCACAGTAATATTAGTGATATCCGTGACTTTATTCCCAGTAGAAATGCTACTGCACATTGTCTACCACATTAAAGTCACTTCAAGTGTCTCAAAATATTGCTGATATGTATCACTACTACAAAATTCTTATCAGTCTTGATGTTGTTTAACACATTAATAAAGAATACTGCAGAAAACTGTTTAGTTTTATCTAAAGCTGTGTGACAAATTACCCCCAAACTTTTTTTATTTAAAACAATTTATTGTCTTGTGGAGTAGATCACAATTTTAATCCCAGCACTTGGGAGGCAGAGGCAGGCGGATCTCTGCATTTAAGGCCTGGTCTACAGAGTGAGTTCCAGCACTGCCCAGGCTTCACAGAGAAACCCTGTCTTGAATAAACAAAAACAAAAGGATTTATTACTTCACAGTTGTGTAGGGTAGGACCTGGCATGGCTCAACTGGGTCTGGAGTTGCAATAATAGACACCAGGTATTGAAAGAAGCTGCAATACAAAATTCTGCCTCTAAACTTCCTTGTAAGATTGTAGGCAGGATTCCATTCCTCAGGAATTATTAGATTGAGAGTTTCAACTTCTTGGTGGCTTTTTTGTTTTGTTTTGAGACAGGGTCTCTGTGTATCCCTAACTGACCTGGAACTATGTAGATCAGGATGACCTCCAACTCACAGAGATCTGTCTGCCTCAGCCTCCCAAGTGCTGGGACTAAAGGTGTGGCCACCAAGACCAGGCTCTTGGTGGTTTCTGACTGGGTCTCTCTCTCAGTTCTTGGGTCTGTGACCCCCTACTATAATGTAGGTCACAGTACAGCATCGAGTGTCTACCAAAGTGAGTGACAAGAGAGGATGAGGGGAATGAAGGCCAGAGTCCTTTGTTACCCAGTGTTGGAAATAACAAACCACCGATTTCACTACACTGTCTGTTTTACAACCACATGACAAGGTCCAGCCCACACTCAAGAGAGAAAATTATACAAGGCAACAAAAATCATAAGGATAATTGGGCATCATCTTAAGAGCTACCTACCATATAGCAATATCACAAATTTGCTTTTTTTAGCATTTTGATAAGTGTATAATTAATTTCTCTTGTACATACTTTCCTTTTTTGTTTTTGTTTGTTTGTTTGCTTGCTTGTTTTTCAATACAGATTCCTGGCTGTCTGCTGTGGGATGGTCTGTATGTTAAATTGCTCTGATTGGTCAATAAATAAAACACTGATTGGCCAGTGGCTAGGCAGGAAATATAGGCAGGACTAACAGAGAGGAGAAAAGAAAGAACAGGAAGGCAGAAGGAGTCACTGCCAACCACAGCCATGACAAGCAGCATGTAAAGGCACTGGTAAGCCACGAGCCACGTGGCAAGGTATAGATTTATGGAAATGGATTAATTTAAGCTATAAGAACAGTTAGCAAGAAGCCTGCCACTTCCATACAGTTTGTAAGCAATGTAAGTCTCTGTGTTTACTTGGTTGGGTCTGAGCAGCTGTGGGACTGGCAGGTGACAGAGATTTGTCCTGACTGTGGGCCAGGCAGGAAAACTCTAGGTACAGCTGTCCTGGAACTCGCTCTGTAGACCAGGCTGGCTTTGAACTCACAGAGATCCACCTGCCACTGCCTCCCAAGTGCTGAGATTAAAGGCATGCACTGCCACTCCCTGGTTTAGATATTTTTCTGAATATTACTTTGAATATTATTATATTATATTATATTATATTATATTATATTATATTATATTATATTATGTAATATTATTCAGAATATTACTTTGAAAGGTAATCCATAAAATTCACCAAACTTTCAAAAGGTGCATAGCTCTAAAATGTTTCAGTTTGGATAACATCAATGACTTCCTAAGGGAAGTTGTTTAGAATGATCTCAAGCTATCTAGAGGCCAAACTTATGCTCAAGTCAAACATTCTAGATTAGTTCACATTATCGCAGTGTTGAGAAAAAGCATACATATTTGGAAACTCAAATTTGCTATCAAATAAACCATAAAAAATTCTTGGTCCTACATTCTTGAGTCGGTATGCATATGTATATACTATAAGGAGTGGAGTGTACAGGCCTCCGCCAAGCTTGTTTGATCACAGTTAAACCCACTGTTTGCATATGACAGCTGTCATTTGCAACTATATGACTATGCAAGTGGAACCAATTCCTCAGAAATACACGGAACACCAAACTGTTTGTTTTCTTAAGCTGTGTATGGAAAAAGCACAGAATATGAGAGAGAGAGAGAGAGAGAGAGAGAGAGAGAGAGAGAGAGAGAGAGAGAATGAAATAACGCTATAATTCTTTCCTTAAGGCTTTGCATATGTCACCAGCTCTTGGCAAACCTAGTGTTTGTGTGTATCTATCTGTGTGGTTTTTCTATGTGTGCACATGCAGATGCAGGTATACATTCGTGTGCAGAGGCAACTTCCTCAATAACTCTCCACCTTATTATAAAAACAGATTTATTATATGTGTGGTGTGCGGCTATGTTCATGTGAATGCAGTTGCCTGTGGGAACAGGAAGGGAGCATCAGATACCCTGGAGCCTGAGTTACAGGTGATTTTGAGACACACAGAGTACTGGGAAGTGAACTTCCCTCTGATCACCCTTAACCACTATCCTCCAGGGAAATCTGTTTTGTTTTCCTCCTGATACAGAGGACTGAACTCAAGGCCTTACTCATGCTAGGCAAATGCTCTACCACTGAGCTATACCCTTTACAGATGGAACCATCTCTTCATTCCTTAATTGCTATATATTTTAAAATTTAGGTATTTTTATTTGTTTATGTACACACGTGTCTCTGTGTATGTGCCCGCACATGTGCCTGTGTGTAGGTGCCCACAGTGGCTGAAAAGGGCTTCAGAGTCCCTGAGCTGGAATTACAGTGTGAGCCGTCTGCTGCGGATGCTGGGAACCTAGCTCTGCTCTTCTGCAGAGCAGCAAAGTTCTTAATTTCCGAGTCACCTCTCTAGCTCTTGAGTGAAAATTTTCTGCTGCATGTGCTGTTTTGTTTTGTTTTTTTTCCAAGACAATTTGTCTGTGAAGCATGCTCCTAATTAGTCTTATCAATAAAAACCAGGAGTCAAATATCGGGGTAAAAGCTGAAAGATCAGAGAAGCAGAATTGCAGCCACCAGAGACTTCTTACCTCTCTGAATCCTCAGACCAAAACGGCAGAGATCCTGTCTCTGCCTAGCAGGCAGTCTGGATATGCCAAAGACAAGCTGTAGCCGGCTTTTGTTGTTGTTAAGACTGGGTCTCATTCTGTAGCCCCAGCTGGGCTCGAACTCACTATGTAGCCCAGGCTGGTCTCAAACTTGCTGCAGCTCCTGCCCCAGCCTTCGGAGTTGTGGAATTACATGCCTGAGCCACGGTACCTGGCTTTAGAGTATGATTTCCAACGTTGTTGGTTTAAATGAGGGGCAGACCAGATGAGGTTGCTGAAATCAGTGTTTATCGTTACTCTCTTACTGTGCAGGATGTATACGTTACCCACGGGTGTGTGGGGGACACACAGTGTAAAGTGGCTCTATGCTCACTTTCAGGCACTCCCTGGGTCCTGAAGTCTTTGATGAGGAGGGAAGGGAAGACAATTTTCCGACCTAATGTTGTATGTTATGTTGCCAGCTGTCCTAGCATCTTAGAGGTAAGTCAGCAAATTTTTCACGTATGCTGGCAGGTTTCTTGTGTTTTCCTAAATCCTAACTCCGTCTAGGCCTTGGGGTCCAGTCCTGGAGATATGGAAGTCACAGAACTGCAAAACGTGGGACCTCAACCTCTTAACTTCGCATCTTCGCATTGCCCGGAGGAGTGCCGAGGGCGGGTGAGTACCTCTGCATCACACCAGGCCCCTCTCAGGGTAAGGCAGATCCAGTTCGAACCAGAAAGGGCCAAGAGACAAGGATCCCAGACAGCCTAGCAGTGCCAGACCTGAACTGAGGCTCCTGGACCAGCCAGGACTTCCGCCAGAGAAGGTGGGAGGGGCGGGATTGGCGTTGACGCCAGAAGACTACTTCCGCCAGGGTCCGTATGACGTCAGGGCCGACCCTTTAAGACCCTGGAGTCAAGCCTCGCGAGATTCCGGAGCGGTCGCTTTGGCCCCGCCTCACGGGGCGGGGCGGGGCGGAGCTTGGCGCGGTGGACGCGCGCCGCGGGCTGCGGTGGCTGAGGAGGCTGAGCGGCCGCT